CTTAAGATATCATGAACCAATCACAGAGCCGTATTAGCGTCTTAAGACATTACTTAAGACAATCTTGAAGACTATGAATACCGACCTAAATGATAAATTATAAAATATTATATCGTTTAAATGTAAAGTTTATAGAATACTAATACTTACTCGGAATAGATTGAGGCTCAAAGAAAGCACTCCAATTGCTATTAAGCAGAATAACATTATCTCAAATTTGGATATCAATATTTCACACAATCTTCAAACATAAATAAATATTATTGTATGATATACATATTGTATATTATGTAGATTATGTATTGTATATATGTTATATAGATACTAACTTCATAGCTTGCCGATGAATATCGATGGCACATATTATTCCTTTAAATATCAAAATTTTGTTCTCTGAGGTAATATTTTGTAGCACACTGGTTCTCATTGTGCGTTCAATACGATAACTATAAAAAATATGTTTATTTAGGTACTATTAGTTTATTTTTAATATAAACTATTAGTTTATCTTCTAAAAATAAATTTTATCTTTAGATTTTTTCAAAATAATTACACAATTTTGTTTATAATTAGAATTTTTGTAGCTTTCTCTATATTTGTTTTATACCTTGAAATCCTAAACATTCCGCAGGTATGTTGGAAATATGCTACGACCATTGTACCCACCGCTACTATCGCGGTACATCCTATGCAAACAGCTGCACATATATGCAAAACGTTTAAATAAAAATGTTTTTCTTGATCGATGAAATATTCCGTTGTAATAATAAAATCACGAGATTGAGATATGTTTCTCGATAAAATGACATCAAGGATTACCAACCAAAATTGAGCAGTAATAAATGTAAACATACCACAAACGGCAAACACTACAAAAAGTTAGAAAGGAATTGTTTGTAACAAATTTCTGCGTATAAAAATATTCAAATTATCTTTTATGTTATGTGTGTGAGATCAAAAGTGTATATAGCGACGTAATATTAAAATATATTTCTAGATTTAATAAAGATTAATCTCTATAAGAAGATTTATCTTACTTGTAAGTATAACTGTGTACCATTTGGCATTGTTGCTGTATTTTTCTACAATAACGTTTTCGTATTCATCTTTTAGATTGTTATATATATGTTGAAGTTGAGCCAGTAAATTTTTCATCTGTCAGTCCAGTAACATTTTATATTGCCTTTATGTATTTTTAAAAGTTTTTAAATGTAAATTTTATTTGAGTCATTAATTACACAGGTATCTTTAACTCACAATTTCCATATTAAAAGCAAAAGTGATGTATTTTATCACAAAGATAACAAAGAGAAATGTAGCAGAGAGAATCTTGACGACGAGATACGAAGTACATTTTGAAGTTAAAAACACAGTGTACTGCAAGCAATAATTTTATGAAAATATTTACGTTAAAAATATATTTTTCATACATTCCATAACTTTCCAATATTATAGATTTAATGTTTCATTGTTTCTTTATATACAATAATTTTATAAAAATAGTAATTATAATTATATTCATGATGTCTTGCAACTATTGTACATTTAACAACATTTAAACAAAACTAGATTTTAATAGAAACCGAAAATTATGAATCAGAATTACAAGAGTTTTCAAAGTATAAGCAATTAAAATCAGCAAATATGTAGTAATTATCAGATCTCACTATTCACTATACATGTGCACGCGTATATCTGCCATTAAATATTGATTTTCACATATCAGGTGATATTGATTTTCTCTGCTCTGCTGACATACAATGATGATTCTCTATACACTGCATCTATGTACATTTTACACATTTTAATAGTCAGTTGCACGTTAGCAAGTTATCAATGGCAGCATTTAATTGTTACATGCAAATTATTAAAAATGTTATTGAAAATTTTAATTATATATTTAAAAAGAATTATTATATGTAAAGAATTCTTAAATAATTTAATGTTTATTTTTATTGGAAGAATAAAGTTAAAGTATGTATTTTGTTTTTGTCGAAAAGCAGAAATGAATACATTTATTATTGTTCTTCCTAAATTTTTGCATATCAAGTGAAAAAAGATTTCGTCATTTAAATAAATCATAAATATTGAATAAAATGTTCATATTTTCTGCATCTAATTTATTTTCTTTTTGTTGTCTAATAAAATTACAAAGTCCCTAATTTTATGCTTAAATAGATAAATTTTAGAGGTAATCAATGCGTTGAATGCTTATAATTCGGAAATTAGTTTTGATTAAAATTAACTTTTAAAACTTTTTGTAGCAATTATTTCTCAAAAGATACTGTTAGAGTGTTACATGACGAATGTATGAGACATCTTGCATAATTATATCACAATTAATTTTCATAACAATTATTTATTATTTAATATAAATTATAATATTAAAGTGAAATATGACAATAAATAAAGTAATATAAATTACAAAGGATAGTTTATCTTAAAGTGATCATATTTAAAAAGAGAAATACTATCTTACTTGAAATAAAATAGCTGTTGTAAGAATACCCAGGGAGATAATAAAATGAAGTCGGACGAGATTCGTTCGTTGATAAGGCCACAAGCCCACAGCGAGAAAGAGAATTTTATTAAGACTAAAATATTGTGTCTCGACACAGATCATTTTTCTACGACTTTCGAAATATTATCGCGAAGCTATCGAATAAGCTATGCTTATTCTTCTCTTCTTGAATTCATTGATCAGATTTTTTATAGCTTCTCTTTTCTATAATATAAATTTTAACTCAATTTTTTAAATGCTTTTTATACGCAAGACGGCACACTGTGATATAAGATTGAAACACTCACATTTTAATTCTTTAAATCGTTGTATTTATGCTGATGTTGCTTCAGTAAATCCTTTATCTATCAGTTAAACAATTTATTATACTAGTTATTATATCTCAAAAAAAAATTGCTAGTTATAAAAATATATTCTTTAGAAACATATACATATATACATTTATATGTATATATTGTATACTTAAACGGAACGATAGTGTCTGTAATAAACAACGTTTTTACGTTTTTGATACTAACCGCAAATGAAACCTGTTAGAATAAAAATAAAAAAAGTATAGTAGAAACAACCTTAATGATAAGATCGAAAGTGTGTTTAATAATTAAAGATGTGTTAAACTAAAAACAATAATTTTATTGAAATTAACACTTGAATTAAAATATTATTTCTTTGGTTATTTAATTACGTATAATTGTTAAACTATAAATTTTCAATTATTAATTATACCTTTATATGTGTACAATAATATATCACCTTATTTGGAACAAAATAGCTCTTGTCGAAATATTGAGAAAAAAGCTGAACTGACGACGGATAAATTTTTATTATTTATAGGGCCACAAATTCCGTAACGAGCAAAAGATTCTTGTTAAGACAAAAACATTAGGTTTTCAATATAGATCATCTCTCTATGAGCTCCAGAACATGACTGCGAAAGAAAACAATATTTTTATCCCTTCCTTTTTTGTATTTATCGACCAGATATTTTTATCCCTTCTCTCTTTTGGCGTAAATTTTAGTGCAATTTTCTTAATTTCATTCGTATATGCAACACATAATACTGTCGTGAGATCGGAACACTCGCATTTTAATAACGTTTCTCAGAATAAGGTTTATGATTAAGCGATCGATGTAATGCCGCCCGGCCATAGAAATGTAACAAATATTTTCTTATCATAAGAAGAAAGAAGATAATACTCTTGAGGAAACTACTTGCACGGAAATTACAGGAGAGGCGCGCAAGCGTATTCAGTACTTTTCGATATTTTAGTTTTATACGTTTCATTCACATTTGCGCTTTCATAAGATACGTTTTATCTTTAGGGAAACGTTCGTTCTTTCAGTATTGCTGAACATATCAAATTATCGTTGAAGGTAATAAGATTCTTTTCTCAAAGAGTTGAAACAATTTTCTACTTCTATTTTTATTATTTTCTGTAATACATAATTCTATGTGTAATACATTACAAAAAATTGAAATTTGACGCGTTTAAAGGTACCAATATTAAAATTTATTATTTATATAATAGTAAAGTTTCCTGTGGCAATATATATATCTTAAATAGGGAAAAATTAAAAATTAAACTTAAACTTAACACAAAATATTATTTAGATTTGTATTATATTGTATTGTATGGCTTAGTTTAAAAAAGAAGAGTCCAATAATGCATATTCTGTTTTGATGTTTTATGAAGATATGACACGTACCAATATCTTTACTTAAATACATTTTTATTTCGAATATGTGTGTCTCATATCTAAGTAATATTTTTAACTAATCTACTCTTAACTATAATGCTATACCAAATTCTAACGTGAATTAATTGTACTATTTGGTTTTGTACTAATTATATCTATATCCCATTTCTATCTATCTTTGTCTTATCGCGTAGAATATATGAATCTACCTAAAGTAAGATACCGAAGCCTTCATGAACTACAACAAATGATATTGTTAAACTTCTTCATTTTGCGTTATGTCATTTTAAATATATTCTGATGCATGATATATCATTTTCAGTCGCGAAACACTCTATAACGATCCAATAAATAGTCCACGCACCGACACTCCAAGTAAAATCTTTGGCGCCCCTTTGCATTAGAAACAGTATCAATTTTTGTATATGTAACGGAGCCATATATACCATTGAACGTCGTATCTACAATATGTTATTTAAACGATGAGAAATGACAATTTGAGAAAAATAAGATTTATCAATAATTTTAGCATACATAGATTATACGTATAAAAAACAATGTTAATCTTTACTTTCAATATAGAATGATATAAAATAAACTTTCGTATGTATAATTGTAAAGTTACAAACAAATATCTTAAGCGGTAACATATATGTGATTATTATGATTTATTATATCTTGTCCGATATAATTGGCTATGAACATATAAAAAACACTGCAAACTGAAAATACAAAAGGCAGCAAAATTTCCTTAGCATTTTCTGCGGACGACATTACCTGAAATATCTAAGATACGAAATATCTAAGATCGTAGTTATACTCCGTTTATCTATATACACTGTGTATCCGTCCTACTATCCGTCCTACCCGTAAACGCAAGGTGACAGGAAGTTGAAGAGAAATGTTAAGCGCCAATCCTATCCGAAGAATCGAATGAGGGTATTTCCGTTTTCCGGAACTGATCGGAAGTAGTGGCAACTGCAATGGAGTCGACTTTGAAATCTTAAATGAGAACATGTCGTATAAGGTATCGTTGGATAGAGCTTCAAAACAGAATCATTTTTTATTTGAACATAATCACAGTATCTCCAACCGTTGAGGAGAAATGATTGGAAAATCGAAAGGTAATGATGTCGAAATAATAATACAAAGTTTCGTGTCTGAAAAAAAAAACATCTTTGATTGGACCCTACATGTGTTCAACCCTACACATATGTTCCCATTTGAGATTTCAAAATTGACCCCAGTTGCTACTTATACTTTCGGTCAGTTCCGGAAAACGGAAATACTTTTATTCGATTCTTCGGATAGAATTTGAAGCTTAACATTTCTGTCCAATTTCCTGATGTCACTTCACATTTACGGAAAATTCGGGTGGGACGTGTGGTGTGATACACCCTGTATATGTTCTAACCTTTATTCTGCTGTATATGTTAGTAAATTAATTTTAACCCTTTCGGTACGGAGAGTGACTATATAGTCACTGTTCATTATACTGCTCGCTGCGGCGAGCAGTGACTATAGTCCACTGTCCACATGCTCACTGCGGCCGAGCAATTTGAAATGTTAACTTGAAATGTTACTGTTAACAAATTTTTTAAATGTTTTTGTTATTGAGTTTTATTACATATAATAATTGAAGGCGTTAAACGTGTGCTTAGCTCTCTCGGCCAACTCGCGGCAGATCGACGCTTCGGCCACTGAAGAGCCGTTCGCGTCCCCGTCGCTCCGTAGCGAAAGGGTTAAAGAGCGAAAATGAAAATTGATATAATAAAACAAAACAATTATACGCATACTTTTTTAATCAGTAACGTTATAGTAACAGATTACATGCTCTTAACATAAAATTGTAAATCAAGAAATAATAAATCATCCATAAATTATTATTTTTAGGCGATATTCAAGACTTACTCGAAAGAGACACAAACTTAAAAAAATTACTCCGATTGTTATTAAACAAAACAACATTGCCTCAAATTTAGATACAAACTAGTTCGGATAATCTTCAAACACAAATAAATGTTAAATGTTATACGCGTTTTATATTCACATATACATACATAAATACATATATTACACAAATACCAACCTCATTGCTTGCCGATAAATATATACGGCATAAGTTATCCCTTTAAGTATCAAATCCTCGTTCTTTAAAGTAATATTTTGTAGCATATTGATCCTCATTGCACGTTCAATTCGATGATAGCTGTGAACAATATATTTAACCCTAGAGATCACTTCTGGGGTAATACGGTACCCCACGCAAAATTCAAATTACGCCCCTGACTTAGGAAGGTTAGTTTTCATACCGAGACCCTAACCATAATTCAGTTTAGTCATCCGGCAGTCGACCTCCGTCATTCAGCGAGTGCGTTAGATCCGTGCAGCAGCTGAAAACCGAAAAAGAAAATCGCTTGGGATAACGTATTACCTCCTTTGGCCGTTTACGTTCGACATTTATCACAGTAAAGTATATTTCAGATTTTTTGTGAAAATTGGTAACGAAAAATTATACACTTTATAGCACTCTCCGGAAAATTCTACCCCTGTTTCATATAGAATTGTTTAAGATTCGGTCAATTATTTCATTTTTACTGTTCTTGCACAGCAACTGATTAAAACTTTGTAAAGTTTTTGTGGAGTTAATTTTACTGTTTCCATATACTTTTATAACTTTTGACTACCTTTCAAATAAATAATAATCGACAGAATCTGTTTTACTTTCCATTTCTTGCGATTTTTCCCATCCGACAGTTTTTCATCATTTCCTCTACTCCAGATGTTCAAAGAAATATGTTTTTTTTAAGAAACGAAAAAATAGCTTACATGCCTTGAAGGTTGCCTATTCGTCTTTCAAAATCTGTTGGAAATTTTAAAAGCGGTGGATTTTATGAAAAACTACAGCATTTTTTATAAAAACAGTCATTTCAGCCCAATTTTTGGTTCTTTTTTTTTTGTTTTTTGAAATTTTTTAACTGTTTTCTTTTTACTACCGCAAATTGATGACTACTATCGTCTTCCCTATTAAAAAACAAACAAAATTATCTATTAGAAAGTTGTCTAACAACAAATAGAAACATTATACACGCGGTACAAGTTGGGGGTAATTTATTACCCCGTTTGGCCTTTCGCGTATGAGAAAATTAAGGAATGCTCTCTAGGGTTAATATATTGTAAACAATATATTTATCACATGTAAAATTTTTGATTTAGTTGATTACTAAGTAAACATATAAGGAGGGTGTCTAAAAAAGTCGATTTCTGTTTACAAAAGATGTAAGTAGAAAAGATAGTGTCTTTTATAAATTTTGGCTTCTTGAATAAGAAAAAGCTATCAAAAAGCTTGTGGTGTATCAAAAATATTTTGAAAATCGAGCAAGAATATGATGTATAGAAATTTGGTTGATGTTCAGAGTTATCACAAAACGCCTTTACACATACTCAAAACACTTCTCCCGCTTCT